AATGAAGTTGAAAGTTATTTGTGAGTAGAATCAATTTACATTTTTTTAGGATTTCAGGTACCTAGCTACGGGAAGCAGATTCGTTTACCTGGCATTGCAGTTCTACAGAGGCATATCTACAGTGGGTGAAATCATACGCTCCACATGTGAAGCAGATTGGAAAATTTTGCAATCTACACTCCGCGCTACTTCGAACTGTGGAATCTGCACAATTGTATTGGCTCCATCGATGGAAAACATCCGCGTAAAGTGCTTCAAGAATACAGAATCGAGAAATATGAATTAATTTTTTTTTCTGCTGTACCAATGGCTATGGCAGGTGCAGATAGTTTGTTTACTTTCACTGACGTTGAAAAGCAGATAGCCTGAATGTTCCAAACCCTACTAGTCTCCCTGGAAATACTTATCAAGATTCTTTTCCTTACTATTGTATAGGTGATGAAGCCTTCTCTTTATTACCTACCTACTTAGGCCTTTTCCGAAGAGAGTGTTAAATGATGTAAAAAGAATTTTCAACTTTCGTCTCTCCAGAGGCCGAAAAAGTGTTGAATGTGCTTTTGATATGCTGGCTTTTCGCGTGTTCGAGGTACCAATGGCTTGTGACGAAAAGTGTGTTATTGCAGTGGTGAAGGCAGCATGTGGGCTCCATAATTTCATTCGCCTTCGGAAGGGAAGATATCAATAACCTTCAAATTTCGCTCCCTCTCTCGCTGTGCCAGCAATGCCTGACGGCAGTACTCTATAGGGATTAACAACGCAGGCCCAAGCTGTTCGACTATGTCATAGACTTGGTGATTACTTTCTAAATCCAAAAGAAGCGATTCCTATAGAATGGAAACATGTAGGCTTGCCATAAAAACCAAAAAAAAAAACTCATTTTTACATTTTTATTCTACTTTCTTCTTTAAGCCAATACCTTCATTAAATGTTCTGCGTAGGTCCATATCTATCAAACGATACCCCACTTGACACCTTGAAAAATATTTATTTTTAGCGCATCATGGAGTGTTTCGGTCCAGAACAATTTTCCAGTATATGGCCCGCGGAGATGGAAAAGTGGTGAACATTTCAGATTTCCATCATTAAAGGTTTGGGAGTTAAAGGTGTCCACAGACAAACTCCCTTCAGCCATAGGTTTTCGAAATCTACGAATATCTTTAATTATTGTAGCTTTTTCTTACCTGTTTCTTTCAGCTTTCTAGCTATTTTTTTCCACGCGACACCTGTCAAATCAGTCCTGCAATAACTGAGGATTGCACGTCTTCTTGCATCAATACTGCTCCCTTCTTTCGCTCGAGCGACCCGTCAGCTGTGTCCCTCTCATCGACCCCCCATGCCCCCTCCCGGGTTGAGTGCCCTGAAGTAGAAGCTTCCCTCCCCCCAGCTAGTTAGCGAGGAGAACCACCCCCGCTCTCCGAGCGGTCCTCACCTTACTGATGGGCACTTCAGCAAGATTGACATATGACCTCTTTTGGTCGAAAGTCAGCCTTTAGGTGCTATTCTTTCGCGATCGGTAAAATGTTTTGTCATGACTATTCCTAACTGAATTTTTGCATG